ATTGATTACACTAGCTAAATATTAAATTGTTAATACGCTGATGTAGTGCGCTTGATTTTTATAAAGATAAACTGATTTTTACTAATCAATCAATAGTTTTATAATGAATGAAAGCCAAAAAGTTAGTAACTGAAAAATTGAGTTATTTTATCTCATTTTTTCAGTAGGAAACAAATTTATTTGGCTTACTTCCTGTTGTGTATTTGATTGAGACTCTTTTCACATAAATTACTCAGGAAATTTGCTTGTTTAAATTTCACTCCAAAAATTATGCTGTTAAATTTGATTTAAAAACGTCTTATCATTATCAGTGAATTCAATGCAGCAACGCCTGAAGACAATGGAAAAGTTTATCTTGCAAGATAATTATTCCAATATTGCTAATATTAATCACTGATCATAATTGAATCAAACTAATAATTAAATCAAATTTTGATCATACTTAATGTGATTATGAAAATGATGCAATAATTACCATAATATACTTGACGTTATTTGTATATTAGTATTAGTTTCTGTGCCTTAAAAATTGTAGCATACTCGATTTTACTTGTCTTACGAAAAAATATGCCATTAAATACGAAAAATTCAACATTTTTTATTGTTTCTGAACATTTTATGCCTACTTTATCATTAAAAAATAAGTAATACTGACAACTTATCCTTTATTTTTGTAAAAAAAAGCTATTGAAAAGCACTGAATTTCGATACTGTTTTTTGAGTAATTAAATATCCTGAATTCTTATCAAACTCTACTGAACTGAACAAATTTTATAAGGAATTATTCAAAACCGTTCGATATCAATAATAAGTATGATTATTAATATTATTATGCTGACTTGATTATGGTTCAGAATGATTCTTCGATATTACTTAAGCTTATAAATGGTACCAAATCAATTATATTATTTCTTGCTTTGTTTAATTTACAATAAAAAAACAATATATTGGCAAATAAACCATTAATCTCTTTAGTTTATGTAAGTTTTTGGAAAAGCTTTTCTTGTTTTCGACTTTTTGCATTATTTTAAACTTATTGCTATTATGCTAACTTGATTATGATTCACGATACAATTCATGCTTATACTTCCATGATATAATTTAATCAAATCCAAAACCAAAGCAAGACTCAGTTAATTCTAGAATGATAAAATTAAGATTTTGTAATGAAATTATGCATAATAATATTAATAATCATAATTATGATAACTTCGACAAATTTTTTTTTAATGTCATTAACATACTGACTAAAGTGCTAATGATGATAATCCTGTTTTTTAAGTAATCTTTGATAAATTTTTTAAAACAGTATGACAAGAAGTGACCAATTTTTAAGAATTTTTATGAACATTTAAAAAATACGTGAAAACTTTCAGAGCCAAGCAGATGCAAAACAACAGAGTATAAAAGATTCAGAAAACATCGCTACTGCATCCAGTAATGTGCGAACTACTGTTTTCCAGAATCAAGGTGTAATAGGTATATACAATTTAATTTGACCGTCAGCATAGTAAAAGTAAATTGCTATACTGTATTTGATCTTCAGTTATTTATTGCAAGATTCAAATCCTTATCACAACCACAATGATCTCCGAAATTGCAAAAACATTATCACCAAGCGTAATTTTTCTTATAATTCCTTTCTGTGATAACATTGTTATCATATTATTTATTGACAGTAGTAATGAATTATTCTACCACACAGTTAGGATATTTGGGAAAAGTAAGATAATTGATATGAATGCAGTATTAAGCCAAATATTATAAAATACACTATTTGCTCTAAAATGACTGATAAATTCAACTTACAGTAGAATGAATCATTTTAGACAAATAATAAAATCTTCAACTTTTTAAAGCTCCAGAATAGCTTCTTCATAAATAAAACCTGAGATTAGTTATTAAATAATAAATTGGTGGCATATTATCACTGCTCTCATTTAATCACTATACTGTATTGTGCTAGCAATAAACAGACAGCGTTTTTGAATTCAAAAAAAAACTTTTACTTTTTTACAGATAGCAACAAAAAGTTGCTACGGAAAATGGCGAAGGTGAAACCAGAAGAAGTCTCGACGCCTACTCATTTCGAGTATTTTTTATCATTGCCCTTGTTTTTTGAATTTAAGTCATTGTTTTTGAAGAAGACATTAAGAATAAATTACCTTTGAGTAGTAGTAATTTTATTTATTTTTACAATTTTCGACTTCTGAGCTAAAATTTTGTATTTTTCAAAAAAGGCAGTGAATTTTGCTAAAGAAAAAAATAGTAGTATAAAATAAACATTGCAGACATTTGGTGCATATTGAAGATATACAATCGAATGAAAACAATTTCGTTGTGCCAAAATTATGCGAAGATCCAGTAATTAAGAATATATTTAATGTAATCGAAAAAAACATCACTGATACGAGTAATAATTCAATTGGTACTTCTGATAGCTCAGAATTCTGCTTAAAGTTACCAGTCAAAAATTTTAAAAATAATGTTAAAGATGAAGCAGTACTTTGTGATTATCAAGTAGTAACACGTGATAATAAAAATAATAATTATGAATCGATGAATGAAATGAAACGAAGTAATTTATACTTAAATTTGAAGAATAATTTAAATGAATCAAAACGCCAATCAACACCACAAATTATGGCACCAAGTTTTGATATCAAAAATGTTGAAGAAGAAAATAACATAATATTGCCAAGAAGGAAGAACATTTTACCATTACAGTCAACGGATTCAACGGAAGCAACTCCACCTGACACGCCAGTATTCACTTCTGAATTCAAGTCGACACGCAATTTAGACTTAAGCAAACAAGAAGCTGCTTATGATGCTATTGTTGCACATAACAAGCAAGATCCTATCTCATCACCTTTCCACAAAACTCAAGAAGTAACAGTAGCTGATCAAATGATGACTAGACAAAATGATGCGCTATTGAAAAATAAATTCTTTTCAAGCTATGATAATCAAGATGATACCAAAGGTCAAACAGAAGAAATTCAACAAGCCCTGAAACAATTAGACGATGTATTGGATGAGCAAATTCCTATTGAGGTTTTTTCAATACCAAATGATAATCTCTCAGTTATATCAAAAAGGTCAAGCGTAGAAAACATCGAACGAATAAATACTTACAAAGAACCAGAAAACTGTAAAAAATCAGTGAAAGAACTAGCAGAAATGTTGGATTCTAAACCATTACCATTACAACGGAAGGACCCATATTCAGTGGCAACAACTAGTATAGAAGCTGAATCAAAAGTATCAATACAGGCGATGAAACCATCCTTAATTGGTATCAGTATATTCAGTCCTGTCATTGGAAAATCAATCACAGAAATTATTGCACAGAAACGAGAACAGAAGGAAGAAGTTGGTAATCAGAAAGCTGCTTTGAAAAGAAACTTTATGATTCCTTCAAAAATTCAGACTCTGAGTAAGAGTGAAAGTCAAGATATGTATTGCAGTAGTAATGGCAATCAAACATCCTCTTCATCACAACTGAGGAAAAACAAATTTGACTTTCAGAAAAATTTTGCTGAAGTGAACAAGATTCTGAAAGATCCTGAAAGGGTTAGAACTGAAATGACAAATACGAAAAGCAATACATCAAGTACAGAATCAAGCCAAAAAATTTTTACATCCGAAGCAGAAATGGTTAACTTTCAAAAAGTTTCTTGGCTAGCAAACTCTCCTGGCAAGAAACAGAAGCAGAATCAGGTCCCTCAAAATTTACACATCTATGAAAACTTGAATCATCCTGATAGATGTTCTCAAATTTCTAAACATATGTCAATCGAGGAAGCAAATCGACGGAATGGAAATGTAAATGCAACGATGGAAAAGATCATACAAAAACAGCAATTTGAATCTGATTACGATCCATCTGTTTCTGAGAGTACAGAATCCGCAGTACAGGTAAACAGTAGAAAACAAATGTTTTCAGAATAAGCGATTTTTCATACTTTACTCGCTTAGAAATTTCGTTGACAGAGTTTGAAAATTTCTACTTTATTAAAATTTTTTCATCATTGCATAGAAAACAAATGTTTTCAGAAGTATTCATGTAAGCTGAATGAGAAAGAAAATCAGAAGAGAGTCATGAATATGGAAGAAAATTCATCTGACAGTACTTTAACTGCAGCAACAATTTTATCGCATAAAACTGACGATAGTGACGTAGATAATGTAAAGTGGCGAACAGATTACGTTATTACGCCACAAAATTTTGATATATCTGTCGAAGATGAAAAAAATTTGCAACTACCACCAGTTTTACGTACACCTCCGAATCGCGGGATATCAAGTCAACGAATTGTGCAACGTAGTACATCAATGTATACTTCAGGAAGTGAAGAAATAAACAATAAAACTATGCAATCTACGAGTACTTCAGAGCAAGGAAATCAATTAGGGATTCTGAATCGACATTTATCAATGTCTGCAGTGAAAATGTCAAATGACAATGCATACACATCAATGATACCCCCAAAACCTGCACCACGTCGAATTGATTTCTTGGAGCAAACAAGAAAAAACTTTAATTTATCTCAAGTATTTACTCAATAATTTACCATCTATCAATATTTTTTGTAAATTTCAAACAGAAAATTGACTGATCAGCTAATCTAGATGAAGCAGTGATTTCAAATGCGAAAATGTTGATCATTCTGCTTTACTTTTAAATAAAAATAAATTTTTCAAAGGTAGAACAATTACATTGTGATAATTTGTTTTGATACATTTTGTAGGAAGATGTTAAAAATTTTAAGAGGAATGCTAAACGACCCGTGCCATTACCTCGGCAAAGTAAACTTAAGGTATTTTGATATTTTGGTGAAACAATTTTGATCATACTTACTGAATCCTGAAAACTCATAAAAATTAATGCCAAAGACTGAAATTGGATTTTTCTTTGTGAGCTTTCTCATTGCATTTAATTTATTACTTGAATTCCAACATTTTAATCCCGATGTATACTTAGTCACTAATTTTCAGGAAAGCAACTTTGCAGTTAAACTTCATAAGTACTCAAAAAAATTAATTTATAATTGAAATGCAATTTATTAAGCTCAAAATATTTCTTTACATTTTAAAACATTTTAAGTTGTCATTTGAAACAAGAATAAATGGAAGATATAATTTCAAAGAACATATTTATATACAAAAATAAAATCATATATACACATTTATTAGTTTTTATACGTAAATTCTATCAGATTTGTAAGGTTAAAGATATTTCAGACATCATTTAATGATAACTTGTTATTGAAAACATCTTCTACACTTGGAGCCAAAATTCAGCAAGGCAGTATAAATGGTTCTGAATCAATGGTAGCACTTTAAATTAGATAAGAGATATGGACTGGCGTTATTATTAAATAAGTGATAAAATTTCGAACACAATCAATCCTTATCAGTGGAAAATTGTGTCAGGAAAAAAGTAGAGAGAACATTAAGGAAACTTTTATCTAAAAAATGTCTGAAGACATTTATTTTTTTTCATCTTATCATTATGTTTTATTTATTCCATTTTACTGACTGATATTCAAATTTTGAAGCTTTAGTAGAATTTGATTGCATTTCAATAGTAAACAGAGACAGCTTTACTTTAACGAGTATACACTTTTCAGATCACAATTGCAAAAACAATGAATGAAATTGAAGACGTTAGAAGTGAGTGGACTTTACGCTTGTAAAAATTCAATTTTCATGAACACAAAAAAGTAGCCAAACTCAAGAAAATACGACGATTCTGGAAAAAGTGTATTCGATAAAGCGAATTATTAATTGCATCAAACTGCTAAGAAATTCATAAATTATTTGTAACAAAAGTGCTGAAATTTAATATAAAATAATGAATTAAGTGTGAGCTCTTGACAAAGCATCTTCGTTAATGAAACTGTCTCCTCAGTTAGTATTCTTAAATTTATTTAAAATATTATAATAATCAACAGAATCCTCTTTGATTAAGGCTGAACTGGAAAATAAGGATTAGTACATTGAATAAGCTTTACAATTAATTACACAACGTTAAAACGTGAAAATCCAGTAATAAACTGTTAAAATAATTACTTCATCATTTAAACCCAATTCGTTACACGCTTAACGTAATTTATTCCCACTAGTTTCTAAATAGAGAAATTTCTATCTGCAGTCGCTCGCTTTGTCATAATAACTTCCATGATGGTATGATAGATTCGCAGCGAAAATTTTATTTACGATCTCGTATCATACCTCACTACCAGTAATTATTGATTCTTTGCACTTCACATTAAGCAAATATATACACTTAACAACTTTATAATTTGTAAATTTAAAACTCCAAAGCATTATAATCACCAAAATGTACTTATTCTGAAATGTTTCACTCAAATCAGTGATTTCTCCTGCAAAAATCTTACTACTAAATTCTGATCTCATTCAGTAATGCATCAGAAAAATCCTTTGAATCCCTCCAAAGCTTCGTATTACAAAAAAAATAGAGGTGCTGATGAAGTAACTTGTGGTTAGTTTACCACAATAATTACATGAAAATTTCTTCAGTGAATTATAAATTATGCTTAAAAGTTTCCTACATAAAAGTTTTATTATCGTTATTATTTTCGAATTCTAAATGTCACTTACCAGTTGATATTTCAAAGTTTGGATAGATAAATATATTGTACAAATTTTTTACAAAAAATTTTACACGACATGTTATGTATAATTTGGATTGGTACGATATCTATTACTACAGCAAATTCTATTGTATTATGAACAATTTCACTTAGATAAAATATTGGTTTACAATAACATCATAATTCGTAAACTGCATCAGTAGTTTCAATTATATATCAAGTTAATCAGTGAAGATCATGATAGAATATAAACCCTCGAAGAGATCAGCTTAACTGAGAGTATATTTATAGTGATTTGATAACGTGTCATGATGTGAATGTTTCTCAATGCATTCAGTAAGATATGTAGGGCTAAGAACACAGGCCATGAGAGCGATTAACGTTTTACTAGTGATTTATGCTGAATAAGAGTTTACTATTCAGAAAACAGGATATTTTTTCACACATCTTCAGAACCTTAAAGAACTTTTTTGTAACAAAGCAATGTGCAAAATTACAAAATATTTTTCACCTTACTCACGAAACATTTTTCATGTCCCCTTCCAACTATCTCAAGTTTCAACGTTATCATCAAAGATCTGCTTCAAAAGAGAAAAGAAACCTTGGAAAGCAGTTTTACACGATCTTGTTCTGTACAGGATCTTATTATTCTAAAAGTTCTTGAAAAGAGCTTTTAGGAAGACAGATTAATGATGCACGGAACTTTTGGTCGGCAATTTTTCCGCCTTTACACTCATTTGATTATGTGTAGGAATATATTTTGCATTCGATTCACTCTTCATCGTTACTAAAACAAATAAAAATTTGTGCTATTCAAACATTCCAATAAGTAAACAATATTAAAAATTCAAGAAATTACAATGACCAAAAAATAAATGAGAAACCTTCTTCAGAAGCCGTAGAAGTTTCATTTCTGGCAGCAATGGAACTGACGTCATCCCTAGCAGTGAATTCATTTTCCCACGGATGTGTTACTTCGTCTATTTCCAAACTACGTTCAGCTTTAAAAAGATGACGTAAACATTTTGAAATAATCCATAAAAATTTATTATTTAAAAGAATGGAAAAAATACCTTCCAAAACATCAACGCCGTGTTTTATCGTTGAAATACCAGTTTCAAAACTTTTTTCTTGCTCGAATTGTGCCAATTCGTGTTGCACTTCAAAGTCAGGCAATGGAAGAAGCTTATTTTCTTCAGTTGGTTCTATTTCTTTCATCTCCATTTCCAGTGCATCTGATTCTATTTTGAGAATATCTTTAGTTGATTCCATTTCTTCTTTCAATATGCCCACTGATGATTCCTTTTCTAACTTCTTACTGCTGAATGTTGAACCATAATTCATCACCATGTCACTTGGTGTTGGATCGAATTTGAATTCGAATTCATCTGCTGATGATTCCAATTTGATTTTTGGATCTATTAGAAGCGATTCAAGATCTGCTTCCTGCTCATTTCCCGCAGACCCTGATTTTAACTCACCCACCGAGATTCGAGTTGTTTTTTCCAGTGCATTTGACTCTAATTCTGATTCTCTTTGTGTTGCTTCGGTTTCTACAGGTGTTATTTCTGCTAGTTCTAGATTATCTTTGTCGTGTGCTGTAGTTACATTTGATCCCATATTCATAACGCGATGATTTTTGTCTTCTGAATTCATCGATGTAAATATTAGTAAACATTTTGCTCTCTTTTCATATTTTTGTGAACTATATACATTCTATTCTAATCATCATTCATTTATTTCTAGGAAGACAGCTACTGAAATCCAAATGAAAATAAAGTACTGAATGTATCATGCAAGTGACATACTTATTGTACTAAATTGTAAAACTCAAAAATAAAGCTTCGGTGGCTATTAAAGCTTTATTTAATTAATTATTTTTGGCACGATAATTGAATTTAAAACTGCATAACATGACAAATATATGATCATAATTTAAGTAGGGATCCAAATCTTATGTTGAGTATATTTGAAAGCTTTTTCACCTGCTTCAGTGTCATCGCTTCTTACTGTAGAAGAAGAGTATTCATTGATGCTTGATGACAATGTGTAAGTTGGTGTAACGACGCTATTATTAACAGAATCAGCAATCTCTATCAATTCTAGTCCTGTGTGCCTCGCTAAAAAGAAAGAATAGCAGCAATCACATTCACTGCAGAGCAAAGCTTATAACCAATATAAATCACTTATTAATTTTCAGTCCTTATGTAAGTAATCAAAGTTACATAAGAAGTGAAAATTAAAAATTATTTAGTCGACATTTCGTGCAGAAAAATTTTAATTTAAGCGTAAGACACAATGTTTTTTATAATCTCAAACTTAATTTTTTAAAGCAATCAATGCTTACTCACCTGGATCGATAATAATTTCAGTAGAATCAGATTCCGTTGTGGATGTACTAGAACTCTGACTACTTTCTGACTCTTTCGTAGCAGATACTACAGAAGAAGTCGATGATGATAATGATGGAGACATCGGTTCTGCGCTGTTTTCTAATATATAATTTTTTACTGTAAAAGAGAGCATATTATTCTCTTCAAAATTCAAGCAGTTTAGAATGCAGAAGTTTTGAAGGTAATAATATACTTTAAAATGGACATGACAGTGTGACCGAACTGATAAAGCAGCTTGTTTGTGTTTCAGATAAAAATTTTACAAAAATTTCATTTACCAGTGAAAGAAATAGATGGATGTGTGACAGCAGATGCAGCGGTATCCGTTTCTGTAAATGTCGATGATGCTTTCTGCAATAAATGCAAATTCTGCTAGAATACATGAAATGACATGATAAGCATAAGAATTTAACGGAATAATATGTAGTAAAATATACGACATACTGTGAATGAATTGTTTAATGTGTAAGTTGATCCTTCCACAGTAATTACAGATTTCCTTGTTGGATAAGATGTTTTCTGATAATTTTCACTGTTCACGACGTTAATTGTTTCTTTGACCCCGTTTCCTCGTAATGACGAATTCCCGCTACTCTGAGTCAGAGTATCACGTATTACCTTAAATGATCCAATGATTTCCAGCAATTTTTATAGTCATTAATATTTGCATATAATTAATTATACTTTACCACTTCATCTCAATTCACTACAAAGTAGGTCTACAAGGTCAGCAACTGTAACTAATAAAAAAATACTGTCAGTTTTTTCAATAACAACTTTCATTATTATCGTTAAAAAAGATAGATTTACGTGAATTCAATAAAGTGGAATGATTTTTAAATGTCAGAGAGACTGAATTTCTTCGACGTAACATCTCGCCACTAATACGTGTAATAAGTAGTTCTTACAAAAACAATGAAGAGCCTTCCTAGTGTATTTAAATCAAAGAAGTAGGAAAAAATAAAGCTCCTATCAAGAATATAAAATTTTATTTCAAATTCACAACATAAACAATATGCAAATTTTCATCTCACAAAAATTTATATATATAAATGATACTCTCGAACTAGTCTTCAGGAGCCTTTCTAGCTCAGTTGGTAGAGCATCAGACTTTTAATCTGAGGGTCGTGGGTTCGAGTCCCACGGAGGGCACAACGTTTTTTGGGTTTTCCAACAAAATTCGGCCAAATATGATCTGTCGATGTGTTGTTGTTAAGTACTATGAATGCAAATGTTGTTAAGTCCCTTTTCTGTCATCCATGTGACAATCAGGTGTGTGTCCGACAACTGTTTTGACATTATTAATATGCCTTGTAAGCTTTTCATCGTTTTAAGAAGCTACAGTATGAAAAGATTAGTTGAGTGGTTGAAGTAGCTTCTGATTTGCTTCTGATGAAAGGAATAGATAAAAAAGAGTAATTTGTGATATACTGAAGAGAATGTTACCGTGCACGAATTATGTATTTTTGAAATTCATATGACTAATGAATATGACATGATGCTACCGTCAAAGTTACAGTATATACTGTATATTTGAAATTTACTAACAGTACTAAATTGTAGTTTTGTCCATTGCGCATCATTCAAAATGCTGTAAGATATAAGTAGTAGATTCATTTTATAGCCTAATATTTAATTGCTATTATTCATTTCATAGATTTTCCAATGATTTTTATTCATTTTTATGAAAACAAAAAATTTACAAAAACATAAAAAATAGGTAAGTATCAATGATTTCGCACTACCTCACTCTTATACTTTTCAGAATGATTTCAATTTGAAATTTTTCGAAAAAAAAAAATTGCCTGAAACTGCTTACCAAAATTAGATACTTAATTTGAATCAATTTCTCTTAATTCATTCCTTCTACTAAATATTAACTTTGTTCAGAGCAAGTTTTATTTCCACCAGCATTTTTCCCCTCTTCACAGTATCAATTTACATACAAACAATAACCTAAGTAATTAATTATTTTTATTAATTTAATTTTTTTTTTACTGCAAAATTTTTGAGCAAAATACAAGAATTTGTTTTAAGAATTAGCTCCTAAAAAATTACTCACGATCCAAATAATCATTTTAAATTATGAAAGGAAAAATGTAATAATTTTCAAATATTTAAATTTGATTATTATTGTTGTTGCTGTATTTGGTTGTTTGAATCAGAAGAATGAGGTGAAGTAGGTTCTTGATTTCTTACTTCAGTATTTTCATGGTCGCCATCTTGATCATTAGATTTGTTTGGATCATAAGGTCGTCGAGAGTCACGCTCAGTAACAAATCGTCGGATTTCATGCCTAAATTATGAACTCGAAAAATACCTTTTTATAAGTAAGTGATATATATGTTAAACACTGAATAAATTGTTAAAACAAATACCTAAAATCAACAATTTCTCCAGGAGTCAGATCAGCAGAATGATCAACGTCAACTTTATCGAAGAATTGCCGTGTAACTGATCGGTCTACTTTGTATTTCAGTTCGATTAATTCTTCTAACTCATCGATTGTCACCAGTTTATCTTTATTGGTATCAAATTCCTAATCAACAAACTGATTTATTTCTAAAATATTTTTGATTGTTTTTAAATAAACAAATTTTTTCAAATATTTCTAAATGTATAAACAAGTAGTGTGATTGCTTTTGTATCTCTTGTTATGAGAAAATCAAAAAAATAATACTTTGAAATGATCAGTGGCGAATTTAATTGCACTAAGTCGTACGAGGCGTAAGAAGTCCGCTAATTCAACTTTGTCTAATTTTCCACTTTTATCCTAAAACAAACTAAGTTATTGATCAGATTAAACTAAACTTTTCGAAAAATCAGTCAAAAATTAGCTATTTATTATATAATCGAATTATGCAGTAATGTATTAATTCAATTGCTTCAAAATTCTAACGAATTTGAAAGCTACGCAGAAGCATATTAGCCTGATATAGTAAACAATAATTGACCTGATCGGCAATAACGAATAAATTAAATGTTTCCTTAGGATCCATATCATCTTGTCGTCGAGCCATTGCAACGGCTTCTGAATTATTAATCAATCCATCCCCATCACTATCAATCTCCTGAAAAATTAAACCCGAAAATTATTCAGTCTAAAATACAATTGATAGTATACTTTTAAAGTATCGTAAGAATTACATAGCTCTAATGATTTTGAAAAATATTTGTTCATTTATGTATTTATATTTCATAAAAAACATTGTGAATAAAATCAAAAAATATAACAAAAATAACTTGCTTGCATAGTTTCTAAAGCATTCTGTACAGCTTTGCTTCGAATGACCGATCTGAATCCAGCAAATTCAACAGCATCGAGCTGGCCATCTTCATTCTCATCTGCCTGCGCAAAAAATGGCCCAAGAATTTGCTCATCAAATCCATAATGATCAAAGGCTATCCTTTTTGCTTCATCCATTGTTATTGTGCCAGAACCATCACGATCCACCACCTGTGAGTTATAACCTTCGATAAGAAATTGATAACAATTTCCTGATTACCGTAAAAAATCTTCAACCATAAATTTAATCAATTTGGAAAAATTTTACAAATATAGTTTTTGTTAGGTAAAAATAAATAAAACTGCCAGGTTATAACTATTTCAAACATAATACAAGATCATTACTAGCAAAGATCATTATTATCTTACCTTTCTACTTTACAGTAGTGTATGGTAGTTTTAGTAAGATAAAAATTCTATTTTGGTAAAAAAAAATTATTCAGTCGTAAAGTGATGCTTTAAAATAGAATCCAACTGTATTTCATCTTAATAAAGGCTCTCTTATTTTGGGATGAAATAAACTTGTGCAAATTTTGTAAATCAGTCAAAAGCTTTAATTAATCTACAAAAATTAAAAAACACAGTAATAAAAGAATTGAAAATGATAAAATAATACTAAAAATTGTACAGAAAAAGTCAAAATAAAGTCATGAAAGAGTTATAATATCATAAACTTTCAATGCATTTATCCTCTGTAATATTTGAAAAACAAATTATGTAATATATATTATTTATTGCTTAATTAGCGCTTATAAATAATTCAAACTAAGCTTAACTTTACGAGTTAATATATAAATAATAATTGGAATCTGATAGTGTGATGCTGTACAATAAATTGGTACAGTAAAAATTTGGTGGAATAATTCATAGACAGATAAAAATATTGTACAGTAAATTAAATATCTGTCAATTTTATTCAAATGGCTATAAAAGTATTACTTTGAGTGCTTTTTTGGAAGTATCAACAGCCCTTGTTCGAACAATTCGTTCAAAATCAGCGAATTCAGGAGCATTCAGCTCGCCATCATTGTTATCATCTGCTGACAATATCATATCATTCACGTCATTTGCGCTGATTCCTTCTTGCTCAAATGCAATTTTTTGAGCTTCTCTTTTATCAATATGGCCATCTTCATTTATATCTGCCTTCTGAACTTTGACATTTTGTATATATTAAACTTATTTATCACAAAAGAATACTTTTGATAATGATTATATCCAGGAGTCAATCATTTTTGTTGCGACAATCTTTTTTGGTACATATAATTTTTTGTACCAAGACTTTTCCAACCAAACTTTTTTTTTTGCACCAAAATCTTTTCTGCGCATCGAAGATTTAGATTTATTTTCTAATGCTACCATCACTTAAAACCATATGCTTGTTGGTTCAAACTTGAAATGTATTCAATGTTTGTCAATGATTTTCCTCCTTGATTTGTGCTAATAAGCAATTTGGCAATTGTTATGTATTTAATGCGTAGAATTCGTTAACAATAATAATTAAGTGTACTACAACAAGTAATTATTAATTAAATAATGAAAAACTGAAAATTTGTTAATTATTTGAAATGAATTTTTCTAGCAAATTAAACCAAAAAATGTTATAATTTTAGTGTCTTATATAAATTTTATATTTAATTATTTTTTCAAAACTAACTTTCATAATTTGCTTTGCTAGTCGAATTGACATTCCTCGTATACGTCGTCGTAACTTACTGAACAACACGGCATCCATTTCGATTTCCGTGTTTGGTAATACCATACGCCAAATCCGCTCCATATCTCGATTACCGATTCCGTATTCTTTGAGCACATATTCTTGAGCTTCACTGAGTGATAAGAAGCTATTATGATCTTTATCAACAGCCTAAAAAATACAAATTTATTTTTTATGCTAATAAGTTCTCATTTTGTGTAACTTGAAATATTATCAAATTTTCATCAATATATTAAATATTTCAATAACTACTTTAGAAAATCTTCCATATAATTTTTATATATTACCGGAAATAATAAAATATATTTAAATGGTTGTTTTTAACATGAATTTTCAAAAATAAATATTGTCGTAACTCATTAACAAAAATTTATTGTAATGTTGTGTACTTTTATTATCATTTAGTAAATAAATAACTTTACATTATCAGTCTTTAACAAGCTGATAATCATGATAAACATTAATACAGCATTAAACGGTACTTGTAAATATCGTTGTGCAGCACTTTCAGCTTTTGCAAGAACTAATGGTCGTATATCATTGAATTCAAGAGATGTTAAATAACCATCACGATTTTTATCTACCTGAAGTGATTAAAATTATTAATATTTAATATGCACATTCTATATAACATTTCAGTCTAAATTTGTTTATGTATTATTATACTTGCAAATTTTTTACAAATTTATGGCACTTTTTAGTAATAAAAAGCTCTCTTCAAAATGATTATAGATTCTTCTGGCTCAAATGTTGTACACAAAAATTAAGATTTCGTGAAATTTTTCCAAATTTTTTGTTTTTTTTAAATTTTTTATGTTTTTAATTGTATTTTTATTCTAATTTTCATTCTATAAATCTGCTTTGGGGAACGTAAATTCAAACATTAATATAACTGAAGCTAGAAATTTCTAAAATTTTTCATTTTTCTGACATTCAAAAAATTAAGGTACGTGTTGGTATCAATATGATTTTTAAGCTTATTCACCGTAAAGTCATTTTTAAGGATATTTTACGGTAGAAAAAAAGTTGCATAAATAAAGCAGTTTTTATGCTATCCCAAAAGTCAAACTTTTGAATGATTAAAATGATAAATTGTTCTGTTATATTTCAAAAATTGGTTATAATTTTAACTGATACCTCATTGAAAAGGCTCTCAATAATATTACTGGATAATCCATGATGTACAAATGCAGCATATTGTACTTCTGCAAGACTTAAAGCTCCATCACCATCCAAATCAACACTTTTATCCACAGGTGGAAGATGTGCAATGCCCATTTCATCGAGAGTTACTCTCGATTCTTCAGGTAAATTAGAATTTGCATTGGTTAGTCCTGTTGAAGCAATATTACTTGTACCAGAATCTATAAATTCTTAATTATTTAACTTTTTAAGAATAAATTGTGTTTTGAAACAGAAATTTGTAAACAGAAGTGATGTGCATACAAATTAAAAAGGTTTCGTGCAATGCAATTTGGTGTAGAATTTTTCAGCCTAAAACAAATTAAAGACAAAACCTTGCTGAAATCTCTTCAGTGATTCTATTCGAGCCATCATTGCTGCATGAGCTGCAGATGAAATTCTACCATCTATAAATTCATTTTAAAAAATGAACATCTCATGCAGTATTAAAATCTTCGATAAATTATTCAAATATTTAAAATTAATATCAAATATTGTTTATTATAGTATTATATATTCTAAAAATATATGCAAAACGTAAAAAAAAAAAACAAAAATTTATGAAAGTGTCAAATTAACATAAAAATATTAATTTGTTCATAAATATTTTCCAACTTTTTGATTTGTTTATTTGTATAAAACTTAATTAGATAAGGAATAAATTGATAGTAATTTGTATTGTTCTTGCAAGTAAGTTAGTTAGTTTAGAAACAGAAAGAACAGATATTCAATTAAATAGAAATAATTAATGCTTGAAATTCAAATTTTTAGTAAAACATTCTAGCTTATTATGAGATATGGTATGGACAAAAACTCAATTTTTCATTTTGAAATTAAATTCCAAAATCGATTAATCTTGTTTATGAGTTTTTGATTTCAAACTGCTGTCTAACTACATATCAGTGGTATTTTGCTGATGGTGACCTGATTGTGTTGATTTATTATTGCTCGTTTGTTTTGCTGGCCGAAAATTCGTTGGTAACTGCGGTGGTAATCTTTTACTAGTTTTTGAACCATCTGAAAATCTTTGATTTTTCAAAAATTTTATTTATTTACTTTTTTTCTTTATTTCTTTTTTTTCAAAAAGGAATAACTTTTGTACATATACTTATTAAATTCAGTCAATTTTTTAAATTTTTGAATTTTTCTTTATTTTTATGTTTTTTCACTTTTTCAGACTGCATCAATCATTTTAAATTAGCACGTCACTTTTTATAAATTGACGTAATATTTCAAGCATTTTAAGAATATATAAATTTATGTTAATTCAAATAGCTTATAAAAATATGAATTACCTTTTTCAATATCAATTTATTTCAGTAAAAAATTAAATTAAGTTTATTACTTAGCTTATTTTAGAATTAAATATAACTTGGTGCATGTTTAAGATTAAATAAGAAGTATTTCATTTTTGTGATACAAAATTAACCTGAAGCCAAGCCCTTGTCCAGTGGTATTGCATCACTTGTAATAACAAACAGTACGATAACAAACATAACAATAACAAAATGCATTGTTGCTGTAATTCATTAATTTTATCAATTATTAAAATAAATGAAATACTATTACGGTCATTAAGTATTCAAATATATTCATAAATATTAATCATTAAAATAAATGAAAGAAATTTATAAATATCAATTAATTAAATTCAAAAATATATTCAGTTTCACAAGTTAAAAACATGTTTGATCCAATCGAAATGTGTAAACATTGAAAAGAAATTTAGTTCAGACTCTCAGAACAAACAGAAATATTATCAGTTTATTTTAATAAATCTATCATTGATACTAATTTCTTTGTTGTGAAGGAATAAATTTGAGTATAATAAATTGGCAGAAAAAAAATTGAGTTCATGAGTATAAACATTTATATTGATAACGATCAGCATAATAGTGGTTATGATAACAATAATAATAATATTATTATTATCATTATTAATAATAACAATAGCATTAATAATAGTGGTAATAATAAGTATGACAATGGTAATAAGATGTCATGGGAAGGGGTGAAGTAGAAAGAAGTGATGTTTGAAATGGATTTATTTCCATCAGAAAATGCAAAACGATACAATTATTGAGTTTCGGCCTTGTGAAGAACAAAAAGGTCACCTTGTAGACGTAGCAATCAGTATTGTGCAAATTCATCAAATTATATATACACAAATGCCAAACACAATCACTAAATTTTGCCTACAGAAATTTATTTTCAGTAATATAAACTCAGATATTTTTTTTGCGTTAAGAATTGGTAAGTCAATATGGAAATCATTGATCAATCAATATCAGTAATCATTAATCAATTAGAACTTAAATAGAAATTAGGAAAGAAGATTTGCTTGTTTATTTTATTATCCATTAATAATTACGATAACAGATTACTCAAGTAAACAAATTTCATGTTTAGTAGTATTTTGCTAATATTAAATGTAATAAATTAACAGATAATTTTAGATTGACATACACAATCCTTAAAAAATATCTAAATTTATTGCACTATATTACTGAATAAATTAAGTTAATTTCTATAGACAGAATTTAATAATTTGGTATGTCGTCAATTAATAGAAGGGATAAGGCCAAAGTTTTATCATTCCTTTATCAGAGATAGCTGAAAATTTTTTTGAACATTTATCATTTTTTGGCAACTCAATTTTTAACCACTACAAATGTTATTGCTATATTTTACAAATTGTTAGTTTAAAATTTACAGTTTTTTGATCAATCGAAGTATGATATTTTCAGCTTTTCACTAAATATAATAGTATAACAATTATTAATTTTTGAATATTATGTATTTTACAGCTTAAAAAGACGTCTGAAAAATTAAAAATTTGCAAAAATTAACAGATCTGATTTCCAGAAAGTCTTGAAGTTACAGAATATAGCTAATCTTTAACAAATCAGTAGGTTAAGTATGATACTTGAACTTTATAAAGTATTAAATAAGTATGCATAAATTTTCAGTAAAATATAAATTATGCACCTAAAGGTCAATGAACACAGCAGAAAGTTAAGCAGGTAGTTACAACTGTTTCTATTTCATTATTTTAAAGTCACTTGCAGGCTAAAAAAATGAGAAAACATATTTTTTTGGACACAATAACAGTTTGACTGATTACATGATTTTGAAGATTCTGACAATAAAAAGGTCATGACCTTCAAAAACAATGAAAAATATTAATGTTTATTTTTTCGGAATCTCTGAAACTTATATTAAATTTTAGAAAAAAAAATGCAATTTATTATAGGCAAAAATTTTTTATTGCTTTTATAAAATTTTATCGTTACACATATTGATAAAATTTTGCATTTTCAGGGATAAATTTGTTAAATGTTTGTCAATTTTTCCAGCCCTTTCTTCTTACAAATAACTAATTACTTTGGGAACTTGTGGATTTGAAAGTCCGAAAATACTTTTATTATATGTTAGGTAGAACTGATATTTATTTCCGATTTATAAAGTTTGCGTATTTTTTGTGACCTATGAACTTTCTTTTGTTATGTTGTTTAAGCAAATAATTTAGTCTAAAAGCAGTCTTAAAAACTAATTTAGTCCCAAATTATTAAAGTTACTGCATAAATTTGTCTTAATTTATTCATATTTCTCGTTTGCAGAGATCAAAAATAGACTGAACTTACATTTTGTTGATCAGCTACGTACAAGATCGAACCAGATCGAATATATTTAATGAATTAAAAAATATTTCAAGTCAGATTACATAAATTAATGCAATTTGCTCATAATTGGATGTACAAATTTGATTGCTTTCTTAATGATTCATATATTTAACAAGTATCAAACAACTTTCAAGCATAAATATGATATATTTTTATTGAAAAAAGAATAATAAATGTTGCATTACTACAAGTATGAGACATGTCAATTTGTATTACAAAAATATCTGAGATATTACTGTAGAAATTTTACTATCAAACTATTTGAATAGAAAACATTTTTAGTAGTTTTAAAAAAAATGTTTTGAAATTATTTAAAAAATGATTTTAAAAAAGTTATAAGATAATATAAAAGTCTGTAATATGAATTATGCATTTTAGTGAGTAAAATTGTCAAAAATAATTCATTCGCCCAAAAATTTGTGAAATTAAAACCATTTAATTTTTAAAAAATCTGTTAATTTTTGCTAAATATTAATTAATTGATTAATGCTAAAAATTTAGAATTACATTTGGCTATTATTATTTATTTGAAAATTTTTTTAAACAAAATTTGACAAAAAAATTATGCTAGCTATAAATATGAAAATTAAACAAATTTGCTAAATTAAAAGCAATAATAGAAGTTATGAGTGACATGAAGGGATATTTGAGATAGAATAAAAATTTGAATGTATAAAATTCGGATGTGAATTATATATTAATGAATATTTTTTCTCTTTTAATTTAAAAGTTTCTGTAGCACAAAATTCAAAAACGAATTACACAAATAAGTATAAATTTTTTATTATATCAATTTGAGAATTAATGTAGAAAAATGGATAATTTAAACAACTGAAATTAAGTTACTTTTGTATTATTTTTATTGGCTAAATTAAATGCCTTTTGTTCCTTAAAAAAATTAAATGCCTTTTATTCTTTAATAATTAAAGTTGTAAATAAGTTACTGTATAATCTGAGAAGATCAAAATAAAGTTAATTGATAGAACTTAGTGATTAATCAGTTTAGATGGTAATTTTATGCAAATTATTTGGATGTAAAAGTATTACTGAAAAAGCAACTAATAAGCGAGTAATAATTTTATTACTGTCCTAATTAATCCAACTAATTAACAATTTTATGAACATACATATTATAAGTATCACATGTAATACTTGATAACTTTTTGATTGTAACCAAAATTTTTTGAACTTCGAAATTAAATTTTTTCAATTTATTTCACTCAAAAATTTCTACTCCATTACTTTTTTAGATTCAAATATTTTCATATATAATTTGTTTAAATACTTTAAAACAATTTTTGGAGAGTTTATCAAATTTTTGTGAAATTTTTTTCGAAAATACACAAAAAATTATTATATTATATTTAAACGACTTTTGATAACTTTTGTTGTAAATTAATTCAAATAACAAAATTATTGCTTTTTTCGTATAGGTTTCGTAAATAATTAAAATATTATTTAATTTTTTTCTTAATTTTAAATGCATGGAAATCATATAGTACAGCTGGAGAAAACTGTTTAAAAAATTATCAAAATACTAACTTGAATTTGAATTAAGAAGTTTTTAGAAGAAAACTTTCAAATTTGAGAAATATAAATAGTATTTTTAATTTACTGAAATATTTGTAATATTGTAATATATGCGCATTTATGAATTGTAAAACCTACGGTAATACTTTTATTTTTCAATGA